ATTTCAGAGTATTTCAGAGCTTTGTACTAATTGACATGTCATGACTGTGATTGTACCATTTGAGTTTCTGATAACAACAGCTGTATCAGTACAGTTCATTCAAACTTATGTTGAATTTTTCTTCTTATTTCAGAGTATTTCAGAGCTTTGTACTAATTGACATGTCATGACTGTGATTGTACCATTTGAGTTTCTGATAACAACAGCTGTATCAATACAGTTCATTCAAACTTATGTTGAATTTTTCTTCTATGTCGTATGTGTGTGTCTGTGTATCAATACCTGAAAAGTAGGAGTTGAACCCATAGAGAGAGCAGTACCGTGACAGTCAGTGTTTTAATACAGGTGATAGAAAGGAATTTTTTTTATCATATTGTAGAAATCCACCTAGTTGTTTGATAGTATCTGAAACTCGATACTTAACTAACAGAAAGAAAAGAACTGATTTATCGGTTTAGTTTACTATTACTTCTGTTCCTACCTCTGTGTTCAGACAAACATTATTCCAAGTTTAGTATCACTACTGTTCCTACCTCTGTTTCAGATACACGTTATTCCAACTTTAGTATCACTACTGTTCATACCTGTGTTCAGACACACGATATTCCAAGTTTAGTGTCATTTCTGTTCCAACCTCTGTTCTGACACATGTTATTCCAAGTTTAGTATTACTATTCCCATATCTGTGTTCAGACACATGTTATTCCAAGTTTAGTATCACTGCTGTTCCTATATCTGTGTTCAGACACACGTTATTCCAAGTTTAGTATCACTACTCTTCCTATATCTGTGTTCAGACACACGTTATTCCAAGTTTAGTATCACAACTCTTCCTATATCTGTGTTCAGACAGACGTTATTCCAAGTTTAGTATCACAACTCTGTCTGAACACAGATATAGGAACACGTTATTCCAAGTTTAGTATCACTACTCTTCCTATATCTGTGTTCAGACACACGTTATTCCAAGTTTAGTATCACAACTCTTCCTATATTTGTGTTCAGACACACGTTATTCCACGTTTAATATCACTACTGTACCTATATCTGTGTTCAGACACACGTTATTCCAAGTTTAGTATCACAACTCTTCCTATATCTGTGTTCAGACAGACGTTATTCCAAGTTTAATATCACTACTGTACCTATATCTGTGTTCAGACACTCGTTATACCAAGTTTAATATCACTACTGTTCATACCTCTGTGTTCAGATACACGTTATTCCACGTTTAGTATCACAACTCTTCCTATATCTGTGTTCAGACAGACGTTATTCCAAGTTTAGTATCACAACTCTTCCTATATCTGTGTTCAGACAGACGTTATTCCAAGTTTAGTATCACAACTCTTCCTATATCTGTGTTCAGACACACGTTATTCCAAGTTTAGTATCACAACTCTTCCTATATCTGTGTTCAGACAGACGTTATTCCAAGTTTAGTATCGCTACTGTTCATATATCTGTGTTCAGACACACGTTATTCCAAGTTTAGTATCACTACTCTTCCTATATCTGTGTTCAGATACATGTTATTCCAAGTTTACATGAACATATCATGGAATAAGTTCAGATACACGTTATTCCAAGTTTACATGAACATATCATGGAATAAGTTCAGATACACGTTATTCCAATTTTACATGAACATATCATGGAATAAGTTCAGATACACGTTATTCCAAGTTTACATGAACATATCATGGAATAAGTTCAGATACACGTTATTCCAAGTTTACATGAACATATCATGGAATAAGTTCAGATACACGTTATTCCAAGTTTACATGAACATATTCAGATACACTTTATTCCAAGTTTACATGAACATATCATGGAATAAGTTCAAGGGTACTGATTTTGTTTCATATTACGAGTTAAAATGTTTTTGTTTTCCACTTTGTTTGTTTTTTTCTGTTTTTATATATGAATCATTAAAGCAATATTACAGGAGCGTCGTTACTGGACTTGTTAATTTATAGTCGGTTATATATCTAATTTTTATGATTTTGAAAGAGTAATTTATCCCTTCTTGTTTGAAAGTACCCACGCTAGCAGAAGACATCGTTCTAGTGATCATTATGTGGGAGACCGCCTAACGAGCCGTAACTGACGAACCCGACTTGTAAATATCTATATTTTTCAAGCTTGGGTCGCCCAGGGAGGACAATGAGACCACTGTCTAACCACACTCTGCGGTAGTTTGTTACAAACAAATGAAACGAGCAAAAGTTGACCCTCTGGCCCACTCTGGTAATAATACCATGCTACCGTAGATTCAGTAAGGTCGTGTGCATTTTGGTTGTGTAGAAATACGTGCTGTAAATAATACTCGAAGATCTATCCCACCCTTCTACCCCCGCCCCAATTATCTAACAATGCAGAAGTTTGGGTAAGAAAATTGGTGACATGATGTAAGTTACAACAAACAATAACGTACACCTTATTGTTTGTTGTAACTTACGACACCCTTACACCACGTTATTGTTTGTTGTAACTTACAGTATGTTATTGTTTGTTGTAACTTACAGTATGTTATTGTTTGTTGTAACTTAACAAACAATAACGTGGTGTAAGTTACAACAAACAATAACGTGGTGTAAGTTACAACAAAAAATAGCGTGCTGTACGTTACAACAAACAATAACGTGGTGTAAGTTACAACAAACAATAACGTGGTGTAAGCTACAACAAACAATAGCGTGCTGTAAGTTACAACAAACAATAACGTGGTGTAAGTTACAACAAACAATAACATACTGTAAGTTACAACAAACAATAACGTGCTGTAAGTTACAACAAACAATAACGTGGTGTAAGTTACAACAAACAATAGCATACTGTAAGTTACAACAAACAATAACGTGGTGTAAGTTACAACAAACAATCATTGACATTTTGTAAAAGGTAAATTTTTGAAGTAGAGGTAAGAAAAACAGAATAATTTGGTTGTAAATTAAGTTATTAAAACGCTCGGAACGACACTGTTGTTCCTTTTCTACAGTAGAATAGTCGATTAATCTGGTTTATTCTTTAATTAAGAGAAAACTTGGACTTAGTTTCATTCCCAAACATTCAACCTACTGTATTCTATGTTAACTACATCACACTTACCATGTTTTATATTAATCCATATGGCACTTACCGTGTGTTATGTCAAGCCATATGGTACTTACCATGTTTTATATTAATCCACATGATACTTACTATGTTCTGTATTAATCCACATGATACTACGTTCTGTATTAATGTACATGATACTTACTATGTTCTGTATTAATCCACATGATACTTACTATGTTCTGTATTAATCCACATGATACTTACTATGTTCTGTATTAATCCACATGATACTACGTTCTGTATTAATGTACATGATACTTACTATGTTCTGTATTAATCCACATGATACTTACTATGTTCTGTATTAATGTACATGATACTTACTATGTTCTGTATCAATCCACATGATACTACGTTCTGTATTAATGTACATGATACTTACTATGTTCTGTATTAATCCACATGATACTACCATGGTTACATTTCATTTCTCTTGATCAAGTGTCTTCTTTTGTGACCTACTTATGAGACTGTATATGATGTAGAGGTTCACTTTAAAAGGTAGAAATATTGTAAGAATCACTGTAAGTGGCCCCCACTGGTGTAATTGACTCCATGTGTGGACCATCTTTTTTTTTAGCGTAATTCGTTTTATTTTCTCTGTCGAATGGAAAACATTAGTGGTGAGGGAGTTAGCTGGTATTTGAACGTAAGGCTGTAGTCCTAAATGGTGACCTGCGGGGGCACCCTTTATGATTTGTTAGGAAGAAATGTGACCTTGAATAATATGGCTTTCAAAGCATCGTGATTAGTATATTAAGACACGCCCTTTAAATCAAGCCTGGTATGGTACATATAAAACACATTGTGCTATCATTTAATAATCGTAATCTCATAGTTATATATCTATTACAATTTTTATTTTTTTAATTATTCCACGAAGTCACTTTAAAAATTCACATCCACTACGAAATTTTGATTATTAAGGTAAATCACTACTTTATTCCCCCGTTTTAAAACGTGTTTTTAAACTGAAAGCTGTAACTAATGAAGCTGATTGTTGAGTGACGTGTTGTTTAATACAAATCAACAATAGACTTTATATTACCTACTCACCCAGGAAGAACTAGAGGATAATTCAGGTTTAATTAGTACAAACCAACAATACTTTATATTACCTACTCACCCAGGAAGAACTAGAGGATAATTCAGGTTTAATTAGTACAAACCAACAATAGACTTTATATTACCTACTCACCCAGGAAAAACTAGAGAATAATTCAGGTTCAATTAGTACAAACCAACAATAGACTTTATATTACCTACTCACCCAGGAAAAACTAGAGAATAATTCAGGTTCAATTAGTACAAACCAACAATAGACTTTATATTACCTACTCACCCAGGAAGAACTAGAGGATAATTCAGGTTTAATTAGTACAAACCAACAATACTTTATATTACCTACTCACCCAGGAAGAACTAGAGGATAATTCAGGTTTAATTAGTACAAACCAACAATACTTTATATTACCTACTCACCCAGGAAGAACTAGAGGATAATTCAGGTTTAATTAGTACAAACCAACAATAGACTTTATATTGCCTACTCACCCAGGAAGAACTAGAGGATAATTCAGGTTTAATTAATACAAACCAACAATACTTTATATTACCTACTCACCCAGGAAGAACTAGAGGATAATTCAGGTTTAATTAGTACAAACCAACAATAGACTTTATATTACCTACTCACCCAGGAAAAACTAGAGAATAATTCAGGTTCAATTAGTACAAACCAACAATAGACTTTATATTACCTACTCACCCAGGAAAAACTAGAGAATAATTCAGGTTCAATTAGTACAAACCAACAATAGACTTTATATTACCTACTCACCCAGGAAAAACTAGAGAATAATTCAGGTTCAATTAGTACAAACCAACAATAGACTTTATATTACCTACTCACCACTGGAAAAACTAGAGAATAATTCAGGTTCAA